TGAGCACGCTTCCTCCTGTGCCGGAACTGTCGGCTGCACAAGTCTCCGGCATGGTCTGGATGGGCGTGTGGGGACAGCGGCCCGCTGGTGTCTGCCTCCTGCATTTGTCCCATGTCCAGTTGACAGACTGAGCGAGCGTCCTGGCTTGGGCTCCCCGAGAGGCCCAGGAAAGGGCTGAGGCCATGAAGCCAAGGGGCTGGGAAGGAGACCACATGGTGTGGTTGGTGAGTGGGCACTGTAGGGGGCGCCTCTGGGTGACCACAGAGCATCGCCCAGCCTCGGCCTGGAGGGCTCTTTGTCCCCAGGTTCTTCCTGGTTAAGAGTTGCCTAAGCAGGGTGTAGTGAGGCACACCTGTGATCCCACTCGGAAGGAGGCTAAGGCAGGAGGACCGTCTCAAATTTGAGGCCAGCCTGGATTACACTGAGTTCAAAGTCCAGCCTGAACTACATAGCAAGACTTTGTTTCAAAGAAACATAACAAAAACACCCCACCCCCTCAACCCCTAAAAACACCAGTCTACACTTGATCTTAGAGGTAAGGCCGAGAAGCGATAAAACACCAGTCTAAATGGCAGACAATCAGGGCACAAGCACCTTACACGCCTTGGTGGGGCCTAGCCCACCACCACCACCACCACACGGCAGCCACAGCAAGACTATGGTAGGGGAAGTGGGGGTCACAGCGCAGAGAGGCAGAGCCGGGAGGATGCCCACCCGCTTCTCTGCCACCCTGTGGCTGAGCCAGGTGCACGGCCTCCGAGCCTGTTTGCCAGGTGAAGCACGCAAACCATGGCGAGGGCGGCTGGCAAAGGCCGGGTGCGGGGGCAGCAGAGCCCCCAGGGCACCCGTGTCGTGGGGCGGGGTGCTGTCTGGACCGGGCAGGACGGCAGTGGGAGGTGAGCCGGCTCGGGCCTGGAGCCGGCCTGCTTGGGCCCCTGCACGGCACACGTCCGCCCCAGCCTCAGCCTCTGGAGCGCTGGGATGACGGGTGTGCGCCCCACACCCAGCTCTTATTTCTTGAACACGCCTCTCTTGCAATCAGCAACCCAGATGCAGTCAGCTGAGAGGCCCCATGCGGCTCCGCACACAGCGCTTCCTCCATCCGAGGACCTAAAGAAAGGGCTCCAGGTGGCCGGAGCAGACCTGAGTCTGGACCGCGGATGCTCGTGAGCTCCGCCTCAGCCAGCTGCAGTGCGCCCTTTCTGCCACCAGGCGGCAGCCCGCCCTGAAGCAGGCTGGCAGCTCCAGCGGTTGAGAGGCTGCGCGGTTTCACCGAGCGCTGGCAGGAAGCCGCAGAGCCGGTGCGGTGAGCGTCGGTGCCATCAGTTGGGAGAGGAATTTGGCCGTCGCGTTCATGCTGGGACACACAGTAAGGCCGTGTCCAGGTCTGGTCCTTTTTTTTTTTAAAGAGGTCTCAAAAAATAAATAAAAATAAAGAGGTCTTGCTGTGTAGCCGGGCTGGCCTCAAACTCACAGCGAGCTCCTGCCTCAGCCTTGCATGCCGGGATAACAGGCGTGTGCCACCATGCCCGGCTCAGGGCTGGCCATGACAGAACAGCAGCTGACACCCCGTGGTAGGTGTTGTCCCCAGCGCTTACTGCATTTAGTCCTCCAACCTTAAGTACCATTACTTCCTTCAATTTGTGAATGTGGGGCAGAGGCCAGAAGGCCGGGGGACCTGAACAAGGTCCCAACCCACATCTCTTCCCCACTCTATTCCGCCTCTCGGGTACCAGAAGAGGCGCACAGGGTGTTCACTGCAGCACTAGCCATGGCAGCAAAACGGTGTGGGCCTCACATTCCATTAGCTGACACAGTAGAATGAGGGCCACAGCCCTGTCACCCCAGCTACTCCAGAGGCTGAGGCAGGAGGGTCTCAGCACTCACCCTGGACAACTCAATGTGAGCTCATCTCAAAATAAACTTTTAAGTTTTTTAAGACAGGGTCTGTGGTGTTTGGGCTGGCCTTGAACTCACTCTGTAGCCCAGGCTGGCCTCAAACTTATAGTGATCCACCTGCCTCAGCCTCCTGAGTGCTAGGATGACAGGCATGCGCCCCCCATGCCCGGCTCAATGATCTGAGTAACTCCAGAGGCCCCGCAGGTTAGAGAGTCCAGCAGCATTGCATTTCTGCTTAACTTCCAGGCCTGCAGGCTTGAAGAAGATTCGGTTCTGCCTTTTACTTAGCAACTGATCAGTGAACAGGGTATTTCTCTAGTACCAGCTCAAAACAACTGGTTTCTTTAAAAATCCAAGTTCCCTCTGCCCCCTCACCCCTGGCTTGGCTATGATCCGATGTCTCACTGTTTGGTGATGCTCAGAATTTAAACAAGGAACCCAAGTCCCTTAAGGCCGCAGGCACAGGTTTCCCTGGAAATGCAGGATGGCAGCTGTCTGGCCCTTGGGACCAGCGCCCGCACTCAGGAAGCCCCAGCCTGGCGTCGAAGCGCCAGCTTCCCTAGGCCCAGTGTGCTGACTTTACAATGGCCACTTCCTCCCCAGGGTCTGACCCCTTAGCTGGCAGACATGGGGACCATCAGGACCTAGCAGCGGGCGCCCTGAGCAGGCCAGGGTACTTGCCCACACTCGCCTGCCTCATCCTCAGACAACCGTGTCCTCCTGAGGGTCTCTTCCCTGGGCTCCAGGCTGCCGTTCGCTCACGGGATTCCGGGCCCCATGGGAAGGTCTTGGGAAATTACTTTTCATTTTTCTGGCTTTCTGAGCCAGGGTCTTGCTCTGTAGTTCGGGCTGGCCGTCAACTCACTATGTAGCCCAGGCTGGTCTTAGATTCATGGCTCCTCAGTCCTGGGATTACAGGCATGTACCACTGTACCCAGCCTTTACTTCTTATACACGGCTGAAGAAGGTAGCAGTGACTGTGACAGCCCTCACATGGCAGCGGGCTGGGCCACTGCAGTGCTTGTTTAACCCAGCCCAAGACAGGTTATAATTAATACCTATCAGACTCGGAAAAAAGAGTAACTTTATTAGTGTTCCCACAGCTGAAGAGACCCATGAACCATACACTTCCTGTTCTGTTCAGAAACAGCCACTGAACCCCCGCGGTGACTACTCTGCCTGGCTGTGTCACGGTATATTGCCAGTGCTGGGGACTGGAGAGCAGTGCTTCCCCCAGGGTACACACAAAGGTATGCAGCTTGGCACTCAGGAGGCTGAGGCAGGAGGACTGACGTAAGTTTGAGGCCAGCCTGAACTACACAGTGAGTGAGAAGACCCTGTCTCAAAAAACCAAACCAGAGGGTTTCCCTGAAGGAGGGCTTCCGGCGCACAGGGAGCTGCGGGTGGGGAGCGCCAGCCTTCTGGCTGGCTAGCTTCCTGCCTGCTGGCTCCCAGAGGGTGGGCCATGCGGCGGCGAGCGCTATTGCGCGCCGGCCCTTAGGCCGGCCGCCACCGCTCAATTGAGATCTATCATGACACAGAGAAACAGTGACACAATTGGCCCGCCATGCACCGACAGCAGTTGCCCACCCACGGATGTGTGTGAATCATTGAAACTTTGAACAACCCCTGGGAATGCATGCCATACAACGGGCCACTCTTGCTCCTGCCATTGGGAACCAGAAAGGTCCAGAGTCAGCAGAGGAGCAGCTGCTGAACAAGGACTCAGAGAACATGAGAATGCAGACCAAGCCCACGGAGTCAGAGGTCCTGTGGACTGGGGTCCCCAGAGCCGCTCGGATGCTGTAAACCAGGAGGACCTTGCACAATACTTGCAGAGACTCATTGGAAGCCATTCTTCCCCTGACAGTACAGGCTGTGGTGGAGCTCCGGAGAAGTCTGCAGCAGGATTCCTGCTGACTGTGCTGACAGTTGGGGAGAGGACACTAACTGGTTGTGGGGTCCCAAAGCAATGGGAAGCTGGAGAGAAAAAGCTACAAAGAATGGCTTTCGCCCCAGATAGCTCACTTGAGATGTTAGTAAGAATTGCCTCTTCAGTATTCTATAGCCATGATGAGGAGGAGGCCAAGGAGAGAAAACAAAGAGACTGAGAAAAAGCAGCTGCTTTTGCTGCACCACTAAGAGAAACAGATCCCAGGTCTGATTCCCGGGGCTCCAAGAAGAACTCGACAACTGCATTCATCTGCTACCACTGTTAAAAGCCAGGCCACCTCAAGAGGAACTGCCCTAAGAAGCCCCATGGGCCATGCCCTGGATGCAAAGGAGACCACTGGAGATCGGTCTGCCCTCTGGGGTGGAGGCCCCAGAGCTCAGACCCATGCTACCAGTTAGTCCAACAGGAATGAGAGGGCTTGGGGCATCGTCTGCCTTCTCCCTCTGGCCAGACTGTCATCTCCATCGAGGAGCCCTGGGTAATCATGACTATGGAGGAACAAGAAAACAGCCTGTTGCTAGACACAGGTGCAAGTCTCTCGGTCCTTCTTTTCAATCCTGGCCTTCCTTCCAGCCATCATACCTCACTGAAAGGAGTCACTGGTGAGGAGGTAATATACTATTTTTGACAACCCTTAGGCTGTAACTACTTAATAGGTCCCTCTTGCATATCTCTGTCTTCCTGAGAAACCACTCTGAAGATACCACCACGTATTACAGCAGCCATTGATATTTTCCTACTAATCTATCCATAACTGTGTAAAGTTTGTAATGTTCCTATCCTATTTCATAAATGGATGTATGTTTATTATTATGTGTTTCCTACAACAACCATTGAGAAGAGTTAATGATTTTTCAATAGGTCACTCATGTATAGCTCTATTTATTTTCTTTAGAAGCCACTTTGAAGATACCAAAGTATAGTACAACAACTCTTGATAATCTCCTACCTCTTTTGTCTGTAACTCACTATTATTTGTCTATTTGTTTTCCTGAGAAACTATTTTGTAGACAATAATATGTAAAACGATAACCATTGATAATTTCCTACCATTTTGTCTGTAATTTGCTAAGTGCCCCCTATTATTATGTTATCCTTCTTTTATTCTTTAAAAAAAAAAAAAAAAAACAAAACAAAAAAACGAAACCATAACGAAAGAGCTTATTGCCCTAATGGAAACATATAGAGAAGCTCAGTCTGTGCAACATGTGTAGGGCAGCATTGGGTGGTGGCGGGCTGGAGTGTGGTCCTCCAGCCCCTCCATCTTCAGCTGAGCTCTGGGCGCTGTGCCAGGGACAAGGAAGCCCCAAGGGGGCCAAGAGGTGCCTGCACTTGCTGCCCCACTGGTGCCCCAGGCTGATGTTAGCTCTTGAAATCCGGGTGGGTCTGGCTTCTCAGTCTGGCCTGCAGCAGCAGCACATTTCAACAAAGGAACCCTCCTGCCTCTGCGGACGTGGTCGCTCTGGTTTCAGTGAGCGGGAGGCCGTGACCCCTCTGCCCCAGCGGGGAGAGCAGCGCCTGCTCCGGCCGCGTCCTCACCCGCCCCTGGCTCCTGGCCATCTGGGCTCTTGTCCTTCTTGTCCTTCTCCGAGTACTCCTCCAGGCGCAGCAGCCACTTGGCCCAGTAGTGGGAGCAGAGCTCTGCGTCCAGGAAGTGGGCGTGCGCGGGGGAGCCGTCCTTGTAGGCCACTGCGATCAGGCCGCACCGCACCTGCACAGAGACGGGCGGGTGCAAGGATCCTGTGAGCCCACAGGTCAGGGCTGTTACCTCAGGACCACGCCACCTCCAGGAGGGTCTCCTGACTCCAGTTATATCTACCTCCGAGGTGCTGACTAAAGACTGAACACAGTCCTGGGCACAGTGGCGCACGCCTGTCATCCCAGCACTCTGGAAGCTGAGGCAAGGGGATCGCTGTGAGTCTGAGGCCAGCCTGGGTTACACAGGGAGTTCAAGACCAACATGTACTACACAGCGAGATCCTGCTTCAGAAAGCCACAAAGGAAAAAAGAGCACACTGAAGACCCATGGGGACGCCAAGGTGGCAGGCAGGACACTGAAGCATGGACTGCGAGCAAGAGGAACAGAGGAAAGAAGCCCGGGAAGGAGGGAACGGTGCTTCTCGGGCAAGAGAAGGCTGGAGCCAGGTGAGAGACACGCGGGCGAGCGCAGCCTCACCTGGAAGCTGTAGTTGGCATCGTGGTTCAGGGCGCCCATGTAGGCCACCACCTGCAGCGGGTTGTCGTACGTGTTCCGCAGGAAGGGCTTTGGCTTCTCTGACGTCTTCCAGTCGATCACGCACAGCTCACCCCTAGGGGAGACCAGACAGGCTCTGCAGGACTGGCTCAGGCTGGAGCCGCCTCCTGTGTGCAGTTCCTGACGAGCGCCACCTACTGACGCAGCACTGCCTACTGCGGGCTGCTGGTCTGCCTCCACCCTCTGTCCCCACCCTGTTAAAAACACTCCTGGTACTAGGGATTGAACCTGGAGCCTTCACAGAGCTCCATCCACAGCCCTTTTTTATTTTTCACTTTGAGACAGGGTCTTGCTAAGTCACTAAGTTGTCCAGGCTGGGCTTGAACTTGTGATCTTCCTGTATAGCTTCCCAGAGTGCTGGGACTACAGGCGTGTGCCATCACGTGTTGCGCTAACTGAAAGAACAGGGCCAGGGATTTAGCTCAGTGGCACAGCGCCTGCCTGGCCAAGGCAAGGTCCTGAGTTCGATTCTCAGTAATGAAAAAAAAAAAAAAAGAAAGAACAAAAACCAGATAGCGGTGCTAAGGATGTAGTTTATAATCTGTATGAGAAGTTGCTGATGTCAGGGACGTCTTACAGGCCGTGGGCGGAAGTGAATGACTGTGTGGCTCCCTCGGGGACTCTAGAGGGAGCCAGAAATAGCTGTCGCATTTCTGGGCAACTGGAGCTCTTCTCAGATATGAGGCCATGATGCCACAGAACTGTCACGCGCTCCACACAGTTCTAGACGCCCGAGTCCACTGTCCTGTTGCTCTGCGGTGCTGGAGATGGAACCCGAGGGCCTGCACAGGGCTGGGTGCGCCCTCTACCACCGAGCTTAATAAAGCACTCTGGGGACAATCCTGTCACAGCTCCTGTGCTGTTCTGGGAAGAGGTTCCTAGTGGTTAGTCAGGAATCAGAAGGCAACAGGGCAACAGTCTAAAAGCAGCAGGCCTGGACTGGAGATATAGCTCAGTGGCATAGCACAAGGTTCTGAGTTTGATTCCCAGTACCAAAAAAAAAAAAAAAAAAAAAAAAAAGCCACAAAACAACCAAAAAAATAAAAGCAGCAGGCAAGGCTGAGTGTGATGACTCACATCTGTAATCCCAGAACTCAGGAGGCTGAGGCAGGAGGATTGCTGTGAGTTTGAGGCCAGCCTGAACTACATAGCGAGATCTTGTCTCAAAAAATAAAAACAAACAACGACGACAAAAGGCAGTAGTCAGCAGAGAGAGAGACGGAGTTCCTATCTCATCAGCCACTGCCTGGAAGCCAGGAAGAGGCAACTTTCAGGGCCAATGGATCATAGTGCGGTCTTTAGGGAACAGGAACACAGAAAGAAAGAAAAAAAAAAAAAAGAGGAAAAATTAGGGAAACAGAAAACAATGAGAAGCAGGAAACAAAAAGCTAGAATCCAACTGGCGCTAACAGCTGATATCTAGGTTCAGGGAAGGGGCACAGCGGGAAGCCAGGCCATGGCAGGGCTACTGGAACATGTGCAGACGCGGAATATCAACTGCCCAGGACAACATGGCTCGAACCCACAGCACCTGCCCTTGCCTCCTGCCCAACAGCCAATTCTTTTACTTCTCATATCGGTTAAACTTATTTATTTTTTTAAATTTTGAGCTGTGCCTTTTTTTTTGTTGTTGGTTTTTTTTTTCTGGTACGGGGAATCGAACTCATCACCTTGCGCTTGCCAGGCAGGCGCTGTGCCGCTGAGCTAAATCCCCAGCCCCTCACTGTGCTTTTAATTTGTCCAGTCTGGGCTCAAACTTGCCACCCTCCTGCCTCAGCCTCCTAGAGGGCTGGGGTTCCAGGCATGTGCCACCACTATGCTCAGCCCGGTCTTACTTTCAAGAGGCAGAGGCCATAGTACCTGCAGCCAGGGTTGAAAGGAAAAGAATTTCTCTTGACGGTGTCAGGACAATCGCCCCACCATGGCGGGCGGGAGACAGCCTCCGACTCACCGATACTCAGCCACGCAGTCCACCAGCCCCGCGTACTTCAGGGTCCCGTGCTGCACGGCACTCTCGAGTGCGCGCACACCGCGCACGTCTTTCAGAAGGTGCTGCACGCTTGTGATGTAGCCACAGTGGAGCACACTGTCATCGCCCTCGTTTATGCTCCCCGGGGCTGAGAGTATGCTTTCCAAGGCCTCGTGGAAGCGCTTCCCTTGTAAAAAGATGTCTGGAGAGAAAATCAAGGGAAAGGAAAACAAAACCAAAGCTAGTGCTAAAACCCAAATGCTCTGAAAATCTCTGATACCAAGTTAAAAAAAATCACAGAAAGTTATCTTTATGTGGCAAGCCCTAAAACACTGAATTTCAGCTTCTTATGAAAACTAAGAATGCATTTTCAAAAATCAAAGGAATTAGAGTAATTCAGAAATGAAACACATTAAAAATGAAGTATTTCTAATAGAATTAGGCCCAACCTAGAACTGAAGATCAGGGAGTTATGGGAGCGCATCTATTGTATATAAACATCTAATTTTATAGATTAAATAGCTATACGAAAAAATCATTAGAAATTTAGTTCTTTTTACATCTGAACATAATTAAGCTAGGGAATCCTTTTATTAACAGGATCGGTGACTGCCAGACATGAAAATCAAGTCACACACAAATGAAAATGACTGGATGTGGTGGGATTTGGGGGAAGCAAAAGCCAGATAGCACCCTGGTCTCTATAGCAAGGGTTTCAACCTGGGCTTGGAGCAGCTCCCTGGGGAGACAGACCAGGGCACGCGCTCAGGTGGAGGTGGAGATCAGTCTCAGCCAATGAGGGAACCAGAAGCCACATCTCACCTGCAAGCCTCTGTCACAGAGACTCAAGAGAGGTCAGTTCTACCATCAGCAAAAAGTGCAGAACTGCTCCAGGGAAATTCCTGGGAGGGGGAAGTGGAATTCAACTAGGAGCTAAATTACTCTCCTCCACATATACTTGGCTCATGTGAAATGATTAGTACATGAAAGGCCCAAGGAAATGTAAGACTCACAGAATTAAAATCTACACCAAAGAGATGGAGTGTTCATCTACAGACTCAGCCAACCCAAAGACAAAGCTGTTTGCAACTGGAAGAGCTGGGTTTTCTCCGTGGCCAGCACCTGGCAACCTGGGTTTGAGCCCCAGGTACCATCTCCTCCTCAAGAAAAACTGCTTCTCTACCAGCCTCACCAGGATGATTCATTCCCCAAAGCACATCTAACCCTGGCTACATGCTTCACACAGTGGCTGCAAACATGGAAATCTAGATATCAGGTTCAGGATATTAAATATTCCTTTTATAAAAGTAAAATATGACACAAGAGTAGATTTATTACAAGTAGCATCAAGTCAGAGTATTGAGCTAAAGAAATTAACGAAACGAGATGTTTTCAATTCTCCATACAAGTACCTAAAAAAAAAAAAAATCATGCATCTTCAATATTCTGATGCTAGAACTGGTAGGATGGCTGGTATTTTGTGTGTGTATATGTGTGTGTTTTGGGACGGGGTCTCACTACGCAGTCCAGGTTGCTTTGAACCCATTACATAGCTGAGGCTAGTCTTGAGTGCTGGGATGACAGGAGTGCGCCACCATGCCTGGCTTGGTGGCTGATACTTTAGGGTTAAAAAAAAATTAGTGAAACAGAGAAAAAAATTAAACTCCAGCCCTTTCCACTATGATTAATACTTATAAATCAGATTGCTAGCTGGGTGTGGTGATGCACGCCTGCAATCCCAGCACTCGGGAGGCTGAGGCAGGAGAATCATTGCGAGTTGAAGACCAGCCTGGGCTACAAAGTGAGCTCAAGGCCAGCCTGAACTGCATAGCGAGACCCTGTCTCAAAAAGCCAAAAAAGAAAAAAAATCAGATTGCTCACTCTCACCAACCTTCAAAAGAAGTGATTTGTGGGGCTGGGGATTTAGCTCAACGGCACAGTGCCTGCCTGGCGAGCGTGAGGTCGTGAGTTCGATTCCCGGTACCAGAAAAAAAAACAAACAAAAAAAAGAGAGAGAAGTGATTTTTGGGAAAAATGTGAGTGCTGGGAAGAACGCCAGCTCCAGCACATCTCTGCACTTTGGGCTCCTACAGGACCCAGCAAAAAGAAGTGGGTCTGCCTGGTACTTTTCAGACAGCCTCTCCAGCCCAGTGAACCACTGGTGGTTCCGAAACACTCCCTTCTTCCTCCCGCTCACTCTGTCCTCACCCTAATTTGTATGCAGCTGTGCTCTGTGAAAAAGTGACCCTGCTCCTGCGTCAGGTTTACAGTGAGTTCAGGAGAAACACAGCAGAGTGCTAATCTACAGCAACAAAGCTAACTGCATGAAAGTATCCACCAGGGCTCATTCACGTTGCAAACAGAAGTTCCCCTCCTGTATCTTTTTTTGTTTTTGTTTTTGGGTCTTGTTATGCAGTGCATGATGGCCTTGAACTATGCAGCCAGGATGGCTTCAAACCCACGGCGATCTTCCTGCCTCAGCCTCCCAAGTGCTGGGATGACAGGTGTGCACCACTACACCCGGCATCCTCTCCAGTGTGAAGGGCTTAGCCACCAGCACCTTCCTTACTCTGCCCAGAGCTACACACCCTAGGTTCCCTGTGACCAGCAGGTTTTCCTTTAGCTCATCAGTCATTTTAGGACTCTGGGGAGCTGTTACACTCCTGGCTCAAGGAAAAGGAACTCCCCATGAGGAAACAATCAATTCTACATTCTGGTGGGACAAATAAAGAACTGGCGATGTCACTCACAAATTCTTCTGCAGCGTGCTCGGAAAGCAGAGCATAGCTTGGTGGTCATCACTGACCAGGCATCCTAAGCAGCAGCCCCTGCACACTGTCCTCGCCCCACGCCACGGAGAGATGTTTTAAGGGGCAAGGGCCTTGACCTTTCTTGCCATAACCCACTGCCATCCACACAGTTAGTAACTGCCTTTGAAATATACGTGACTGCATAGTGTGTCAGCAAATTAATGGGTTAACACACTTACACTGTGTTTCTTTCCTTTTTTCAGTACTGGGTGTTGAATCTGGGGCCTTTGTACTGAGTCACATCCCTATCTCTTGGTTAGGCTCAATCTTGTGATCCTCCTGCCTCAGCCTCCCAGAATGCTGGGATCGCACAGGTACACCATGCCCCCTCATGTTTTCTCTAAGATGCCCAAAGACAAGTACACTCCTCTCAAAATAAAGGTGGTTGTGTGCCGGCAGGGTGCTGCTCTTGAGGAAGCAAAAGTTAAAAAATGAGGCTGGGGATACAGCTCAGCGGCACAGCGCATTCCTGGCAAGTGTGAGGTCCTCGTTTGATTCCAGCATCAAAAAAACAAAAAAGGTAAGGAATGTCTGTAGCCAAGGACAACCAGGTAGCCCTCACGGACTACCTCACTGATCCACGTCAACAGTCTGGTTCTCACTGGAGTACGCTTTTTAGGGAAGCTGTTTTCCTTGCTTATCTGAGGTAGGACTTAAAGGCTCAAGTTTATTTCTTAACCAAGAACATCTAACTAGGCCAACTGACCTAGATCACTGCTGTTCCTGCTTCATGTCTGGGCTTTTAAATTCACCATCAGTTCACACTGATACATCGAACTGTCAAGTGGGCATTTACTTGATTCTGCACAGAATGCTTACCAAACAACCCGAATCCTGCCAGCAAGCAACTGACTTGCATTATCAAGAAAAACAAGTACCAGGCGTGGTGGCACACACCTGTAATCCCAGCACTTGGGAGGTTGAGGCAGGAGGATCACTGTGAGGCCAACTTGGGCTACAAAGTGAGTTTGAGGGCAGCCTGAACTGTAGAGCGAAATCCTACCTCAAAAAGCCCAAAAAAATAGGGGCTGGGGACTTAGCTCAGTGGCACAGTGCCTGCCTGGCAAGTGCAAGGTTGTGAGTTTGATCCCCGGTACGGCAAAAAAAAGAAGAAAAAAAAAAAAAAAAGAAAAGAAAAAAAGAAAAACGCAAGCAACTCTGATATTGCTTATAGTTTACCAAACAAATGCATTTTACATATTTAGTCAGATTATTTGATCTCTGCTTTAAAATAAGGATAATACATCTATGCTTCGTGGGCCTGTCATAAGGATTGAGTTCACATATACGAAGCACTAGTTAAGGCTAATTATTTGAAAGTCCAGTAGTTCCTTTCTAGTAAAGTGTTTTCTAAAGAGCCTCATCATCTTTTGACGCCAAAGCTCTATATTCTAGAAAGCACAGCGAGCACAGAACCAGAATTAAGGGAATTACTTGAAGTATATTCTGCAAAGCCATCTTCGCCCAGCTCCAGAATCATTCGCTGTCTCCACCTCTCCAAGTAGAAAATCTGTTCCGCAGTCATAGTCCGCTGCAGGACCCGGGTCACACTTGGTATCGAATTCCTTTGCAGGCGGATTTTCAAAGGAGCTGAAGGCTGCCCTGTGTTTGGTTTCAGGCTCCGCTCAGGATTGAAGATAGGAAACCAGTTCCGGGGAGCTCTGGCCTCCTCCTGCTTTGCGGGCTTAGCCTTACTCACAGGTCCAAAGAGTAAGGCATCTTCCTCCAGCAGCGATTCTGGAGTCTGGACGGGGTCTCGGAAGGACAAGACCGACCTTACTAACCGAGAGTATCTGGCCTGGTCCACTTCTTCGTAAGGGTTTTTCTTCTTCGGGCCACAGGAATAAGAGGAAGTGCAGAAACCAGCAAGGAGGGCTGGCTCTACAGAAAACCCCCTGAGCTGCTTGCAAATGGTCTGCAATGCCTTCATCTTCAGCTGGCTTGAGCTTCTCTAGTCTGTTTGCAAGGTGGAGTACCTTTCAGAGTTCGGATCCCTATTAAAATATTAAGAGAAAATAGCGTTAGGTACAGAGGCATTATAGTTGAGCCAACAAAGGGAACGCTGCATTGGAACGACTGTATCAGAATTGTATCCTGGATCCTTTCTGGACACGTCTGGAAAAAGCTACTTCCTAAGAGACACTCATCAATAGCTGAAGGGCTGCCACTTATTAAATGACAACTGGTGGGAGCCCGGGCAAGACGTTCCTGATCTTCACCGAAGGAAAGCGAGGGCAGGATAGGGGGGCGGGGATGGCGACGCCCCCACGCCAAGTTCTCCGGGACACATTCTGCACTGATATTCTCATTCCCTCTTCACACCCTCGCGGCGGGTCCGCTTCTGACCCCGTTTCAGGCGCGGATCCCGACGTCTAAAGGGTCACGAGCCTCGACGCAGGTCGGGGCTGGCCTGGCCACCATCGCGATCGCAGTTCTCATGTCCTGGACATGCCCGGGACAGCGCGCCGGTCGCGTCCTCCGGCGGGGGCTTGGATTCGGGAAGAGAGAAAAAGGCACGGTTACCACGGGGGTAGTACCTCGGAAGTCACCACGTTCTGTGTAACTCCGGAGCGCGAAGAGCCTCCGCGACCCGTACTTTTATCATTCCCGCGCTTTGGCCTGGCTTTAGGTCCCGCCCCAGGGAAGCAGCCCCAGAATGCACTGCGGCGCTCAGGCCCTGCCCCCTCACTGCAGGTCTGCCTCTACAGACCCGCCATCTGTGGGGGATCCCGCCCCCGAGGCGGAAGCGCGGGTCCTCCAAATCGCGAGCTTTTGCTCTCGCGAGAGTGTGCTACGTCAGCCCCGGTCGCCATATTGGAGTCGGGTTGAGCCATAAATTCCCCCCCTGCACAAGCGCGCGCTCTTTCTTGAGGCACCCATGCGGTTAGGGTGACTGTCGCTGTACGTCCCCGTCGTGGTCCTTCGGTCTTCGGTTCCCACCTGTCGCGGAGCGAGGTTAGGCCCTGCGTTAATTTTTTTGCCCGGCTCCAAGATGGACGGCGGCGGGAACGGGAGAGGCCCCTCTAGAGGAGCGCGTGGCGCGTCGCTCGCCTGCTCCCGGGGTTTCTGGGAAGGTGGCTGACCGCTAGGCAGCCGGCCGCCGTCGGGCAGGGAGGCCGGCGGAGGCGGGGCCGCGGCCGCCCCCGAGAGGCTCTCGGGCGGCGGCGGCCCAGCCTCTTATTTCCTCGCACAGCCCGGCGGCCC